TTGTAAAATGATTTTTTTATATGTTGCACACCGGGTGAAAAATCATTAGTGTAACATCGACGGTTCCTCCTGTTAAATTTAGATAGTTCAACTGTAACTATTGATTCTGAATAATATATACATTTTTTTTCTAGATTAATAAAACCACTCGATTTTATATATATCTTACATTTGAGATTTTATTTTTTTATATTAATAATAAAGCTGGCCCTGGCGGCTGAATTCGCATAAATAATCTTGTTTACTTTTGCATGTGTATTTTTGAGATTAATCTGAATACATTAATATCATTGGGTATACATTATCGAGAATTTTTCTTGACATTTTTACACTTTCTGAACTTAGTTCAGGGATTTTTATCACATGATTTATATCTCTACGATAAAGAATTGAATATGTCTGTACCTTATATAAAATGATGGCAGACATACAATATACAATTGTTTCATTAAGAGAATTAAATACCAAGCTTACAGTTGAGATTAGTGAACTTAGAAAAAAATATGTTGAGCTTGAAGTTAAGAATATCAAAGTCGAAGCTGAGAATGCAAAATTAAAACAAGACAAAGAGGTTGAAGCCAGATTCTTGAATCTAGAGCAGAGAGATAGGGAAAAAACTGACCTTATTGCTAAATTGAAACATGATGTCTTACTAATCAGGGAGCAGAGCTTGCAAAACAAGGGCAATGGATATACTGATAACACATCTGATGATGCAGAGTATCGAACATCTGATTCTGATATATACCAAGTAAAGGAAGAATCAGGAAATCTTTACTATAGGTCCTTATCATAAAAAAGTCAAATTATATTCTTTGCGAATCAGGAGTTTTTTATAATTAAGCAGATCAGTTTTGTGAGCATCTTTAAAAAATTAATAGTAATACAAATCATATTGGTAGAGCACCTTGGGGTACACAATATACTATATAAAACAAAATTTATTAATAAATTTTTGCATAACTTATTATGGTTTGCATAAATTTTAATAATTGTGATTGCGATTTCTGGCCATGATTACAAATCTAAATTTGCATCAAGCTTAATTTATAATAAATTGGCCAGTTTTAGCAATTATGAAAGCAATTAATTATAAAAAATTAATTATAGAAGTATGCAAACTGCAATAAATATAGATTTTAAAACTTTATATCTATAATTGTTAATATCTTTAAAATGCAATTTATTAGTCAAGCTATATATTATAATATTAATAGGTTAGAAGTTTTATCATTTCTAAATTTATAATTATGCTGCAATGTATATAAATAAGGTTATAAAAGGTATTTTTAGATGTACTATACGTACAGTCTAAAAAAATCAATCTATAATAAAGCGAATTATATTATGACTAGTACCTTTTTATATAACTTATATATGTGAATCTATTTATAAGCGGTAACTAATTTTTTTGCGAATTATATAAAGCTGAGAACTTTATACAACTTTATAATAATTCAAATCTATAATAAAATTTATAGTAGTGTTCAAATATAGTCATAGTGGAGACCTATAATAAAGATTTACCAGTCTTGTAAAGGATAACCATTCTTCTATATCCCCTGAAACAAATCATAATCATGAAGACACCCCCACATTTGATATAACTGACGATACTTCAAATTCAAACGTATGTCAGGAGACAAAGACTCAGCTGGAGGCTGGTTCACATCAATGCTTCACATCACCAATTTGTATAGAAAACAACTCTTCAGAGGATAAAGTAATCAATAAATTTCTAGACCTAAAAAAAAAAAAAGGGTTAGTAATATAATAAGAGAGAAAAATAAAGAAAAAAAGCTTGGATCTTAAGGTCTTTTATCATATGATAAAGATATTTCATAATTTAGTAAAAATAAAGTACAAAAATTCATGACAAAAGTTTCTAAAAACTCTAGTTCGTCTATTAGTAATAGTAATGTAGACAATGATGTGATACCTACAATCCTGAATGAAACAGAATCTCAACCCAGCAATAATAGCTTCATATTTTTATATGAAAAACTTTGTAATGCTATAATTCTCACTAACTGTAAAACCCAAGAAGCAATCTTATATTATTATAATTTTGGCAAAGCTCTCATTTAAAGATGTAATGAATTAGCATCAGAAAAACAAGTTAATCCAGAATCTAATCAGTTAGTAGAATTGTAAATAAGAAAATTCGTGCTCAGCTTCCTGTAAATATTTCTGATACACTTTTATAAAAGAGAATCGAAAAGGCTAAAAAGCTCTACAAACTTTTTAGTGCAATAGGTATAAATAAAATTTATTAAATACATTCTTTTTTCACTGATAGTATCTTAAAAATGACAAACAAAGATATTCAATATATTATAGATAACATAACATTTGATTATACAGTGGCAATCATAAATAATAGAGCAAAAAAAAAAAAAAAGTTAGATCACATTATTTTATGCAATTCAGGATGAATTCTCAAATTTTTTTTATATTATATTTGTAAATGGTATTCTTTTTCAATGTTAGAATGTTAGAAATGATCATTATTTCCAATACAAAGATAATTGTGCATGTATCACAAAATAGGTGATGCATTATTTTTGATTGTTTGTGACAAAAATCAAAATACATGATCTATGAAATATAAATACATATAAAGTAAATTTCATTGTTAATTATTGCATCTTGTGCAATATTAGAATTGATTAATAATCAAACAAAAAAAAAAGAGGTATATGACTTCTACTCAAAGAGCTTATATATTATTTTTGTTTCAGAAAAGATATACTACAAGGCAGATAGGTCAGGTTTGTAATGTTTCTTTTTTCATAGTCTTACAAATAAGTCAAAAGTGATTAAAATATCACATGTTTGAAGATTTTGAAAATATTATTACTCATCAAAAGTGAGTAAACCAATTCAAAAAAGGATTGTAAATTTAGTTACCTTCTGTCAGTGTTCTAATGCTATACAAATATAATCCTACTTGAAAACAAATAAAAACCTTAAAATTTCTGAGACTACTATTTGTCATATACTTCATAGTCATATTTAGTATTGGGGATTAAGAGAAAAAAAACTTTACTTTAGTAAATCTTATTAAAAAGAGCAGTACTAATTTGCAAAAAAATATGAAAATTGAATTGTTGAAGACTGATTAAAGGTAATTTGGTCTGATGAATCAAAGTTTCAAATTTTTGAGTCAGATAGAAAGCAGTACTATTAAAAGTAATCTGAGGAATCATTAAATTAGTTTTATATTAAATCTACAATAAAGTTTGAGAATGATTTAGTTATAATTTGAGCTTGTTTTATTTCTTATAATGTTGGTGATTTTTGCAAAATTGATAATATAATAAATGTTAAATTATATTAGCAAATATTTCATAAAGATTTTTTAGAAATTGTAAGAGATCATGGTTTTGATATTAAGAATATTGTTTTTTAATAAGATGGTATAGTTTTACATATAACAACTTTGCCTAAACATTTGCTTAGAAAAAATAAGATTAAGTTTTTTAATTGGCTTTCTTAATTACCTAACCTCAATACTTGTGAATTAAAGTAAATTAATGTCTTAAGAACCTTTCTAGTCAAATTTTAAGTAAACAAGATCTTTAAAAAAAGATTCAGAAGATATAGCAGAAAATCAATGTCAAAATCTGCATTAACCTAATTAAGTTAATATTAACACATATTCATAATATGATTAGAACTCAGGATAGTTATACTCAATAATAAAGGTGGAAATTAATTAAAATAAAAAATTTTTTTATTTTTGATAAAAATTTTTTTTTGTATTTTGTAGTAGTGCTGTAAAAAAAAACAAGCAAAAATAATACAGCATGTCAATTTAAATAAAGCTTATGTCTATAAAAAATTTAGTTAATTTTTTTATTTAATTTTATTAGTAAAAATGATACTATTTGCAAATTAAATAAAAAAAATTAAAAATTTAACTAGAATTGCATGAAATAATACAATTGAACTATTTTTTTTTTGCTCTATTATTTATGATTGCTATTGTAGTATTAAGATAGAACTCATTCTAAAATCTGAATTCTCTAAACTGAGTTCAGAAAGTAATTAGCAAATTTCTTGCAAAAAAAGAAAATAAAAAGATTCAGAATTTTCAGAAACAAAGGTAACTACTACAATTATTTTCTTTATTCTATTGTTTTATCTTCTAATTTGAAAATTGAGTTAAGTAATAATTGAGATTCCAATTTATAAGAACTTAAGATACAAGTAAATGTACCCAATAATGAAGATTCTAACTATGATTACAATGAAAAAGATTTCTTTAATGACAACAATTAAGATGATAATAAGAATAATAAGAACTTCTGTAGTTTTTCTGATAATAATAAAGGTTATTATTATGATTTAAATACCAATAAAACTTATACAAAATCAGAACATCATTATTCAATTCACATATATTAATAATAATATAATACTAATTCTTTAAATAAAAATTCATTTCATAGAAAAATAATTTACTTTAGTTATATATTACAGTTTTGATCAGATGTATATAAAAATAAAAAATAGTAAGAGCACAGAACCCCTCTCTCTTTATTTTATAATAATTGTTGTCAGAATAATAATATATAAATAATATATATATTTATTATATAATAAAAAATACTCTTAATGGGTTAGGTTGATAGAGTTTACATATAATCTAATATTTCTTCATGCTAATCAGGATTTAACCAATTATTATTATCATTATTTTTATTACATTCTAGATTTTCTTTTAATATTTTTTTCTAGATCTTATTATCTAATTTTTAGTAAAATAAAAAACTTAATTCTAATAATTATATTTTAGCATAAATGTACTGGCATAATACAAAGTTTACTTACAAGATAAAAATTCTTTTAGTTTGTATTGTCATTTTGATTTATAATAGTTAGGGGTTTTATCTTTCTTGTTCTTAGAAATAGTAGTGTTATTATTCATAGTAGTAATATCATTAGTCTTAGAAGTAATGTTTGTGTTTTTAGTCTTAATAGTGGCAGTTTTTTTATTACTACTCATTTTTTGTATCTAAATATAAAAAAATTATAGTAAGAAAAAATTCAGTTTCATAACTAAAGTAAAATAAAATAACAAATTACTTAAAAAAAATATGAGCAAAAAAAATCAACATTATTGCTAACTTATCTTAAGATAAAAACTTGCTTCTTTTTATATTATCTATTTATTAGATCTAAAAACCTATCAGAAAAAGTTATATAATTAGTAATTATATTACTTAAATCTAATACCAGTTTTTTTTTTTATAAAGCAACTCTGCTTGGTTATAAGTTCTCAAACAATGAATCTATTTTGTTATTTTTCTGATAAAATTAACTTCTTTATAATCAACAATTGCTTAAGGTAGATTTAAATCTGATGATCTCAAAGATAGCAAAGATTTCAAGTTCCTACAACATATAAATTTAAACCAAACTACTGATAAAGAACATTATACTCATTATTCTTATAGCCTTTTTAAGTCTTATTTTTATTACAGAATCTTATATAAAATAAGAAAAAAATTCTAAAGCATGTAGTTATTAACTGTTAATCAAAAATCTACTGTAAAAAATAATTCTGCAGAAGAGTGATACTGCATAAAATTTAATGCAGACTATTATTATTATTATTAAAGCCCTCAAGGTTTTTATTGTTCATTAAGTAATTATTATATATAACTTTAATGGCCTCTTGATACTATAAAAGAATAAACTTAAAATAATACATATGTATAATTACTAAATATGTATTAATAGATTCCAAATAATTGCTATTAAACCACTAGTGAAGTACTGTTAGCTTTTTTCTTAATAAATATATCAATATATACATCAGCAAAATTATAGATGCGAAATATTTCGAAAGAATTTGCATAGCGCAAAAATTTCGAAATAATCTGAAAGAAA